AGGTAGAGAGAAAATGCATCCTGTTGATCCTTCAACTCCATCTATAGCCACTTCCATACTTTAAAATATTTCAAATGCTACTTATGGTTCACTGACCATATCTAAAGCTAAGATTGGAAAGGGCTTGCCATCCCCTGTTTAGTGCTCTTTGCCCAGGTGAAAGGCCACCAATACCATCCTGGCTTCTCTATCTGCAGTTATCCACCCTCCTTCCCCGCTCAAGGCTCTCTTGCATCTAAGTGACACATCAGAAATGTTTTTCCTTGACTTACCTTCCTTATAGAAGGAGAACATTTAATACTGTAATGCAAGCCTGGTACTGGAGGATCACGATTGTAATCCTAACTATTCAGGAGGGAGATCTGAGGATCACAGTTCAAAGCCAGAATGGGCAGGAAAGTCTGTGACAATCTTAGTTCCAAATAACCAACCAAACTAGAAGTGGAGGTGTGGCTCACATGGTAAGCACCAACCTGGAGTAGAAAAGGCCAAAGGCCCTGAGTTCAAGCCTCTGTATCAGCACACATAGAAAAATTAATGAATTAATTACATTAAAAATCAAATAAATGCAAGTGAAGTTGCTTCTATGAGAAGAGGCACCATCAGATCTCTGACCAGCATATCAACTTCTAATATCAACTTTTGTGCCCCTCCCCATCAAAAATTATATCACTTTTAGAAACTGTACTGCGGCAGATGTGTGTTTACTTTGAGAAGTAAAAATGTTAACATTTAAACTGAAAGCCTGTTTCAGCTTTAAGGTACTTAATTGCCTTACAGCATATAATAAACGGAGTCCATCTTGTCATTCAACTAATGGAAGCAGTGATAAAGAGATAGGAGCCTGGGACCCTATTCATCCCACTGTGCCTTTGTACTTGGTTTATGTTGGCAATGTGCCTTGTGTGTATTTTACACTTCTTTACATTTTGTACATCCCTGTATGACAAATACTTGTCAAACAAAAACTAAACAGATTTATAACCCCTTCACTTGAAATGAGCCAAAATTGAACTGCCAAAACTTTATGACTTCATTCTCTTTCATACTTTTCCACTGCATTGGTTCAAACAGACAAACCCGGCTCAAGGTCAAGCAGAGGTCATTTCACTTTCATTACTAAAATATAATTTACAATATGCCAGACCTAAACAAGTTTAGCCTAAAGGGTTTGTATAATGTAAACCATCTGTTCCTCAACAATACAGCTAATTTCCTGCCACACGGTACAGTCTACTGACTGCTTCTTTAAGAGGTTTTATGATTTTTTAACTAGTTCAGGATTTATGTAAAATTTGAAAATGAGTCTGTAGTTAAGACTCATTTGTCCCAAGTAGCTTGAACATTTTAAAAATGCAAATTATAGAGTCATGGCTCCCCTGAAACCAAGCCCTGAGCAGGCTTTTCCCCTCTCCTTGGTGTTTCTGCCCCTGCTCCTGCACAGGTGTTCAAAAGAAAGAGTTTGGTAAAATCCTGACATTTTCAATGCTTTCTGTATGCCTTCTCAAGTACCCTCCCAAATTTGGTTTTGAGTAGCTCTAGAAAACTTTACCTTCTATAGGTTGGAGAAGACCTGGGGTCTATGCTATTTGGTCTCTGGGTGTTACTAAGATAGAGTAAGACACACTTCATGTGAGTGTGAACAGGGTGGGGGGAAAAGCATTCTAATTGCACTGTATGACCACACCCTGGAGGCTGACCTCATACTTCTTCAAGGTATAAGGCCCCCTCCCCCCTCCTCAGCCTCCAAAGACCTACATCCACTTAGGCTTGCTGGCCAGCATCTTTCTCAGGTTTCAAGTGGAATGGTGCAGCCCAGACCACCAGATCTTACAGATACATTGGGCTCATTGAGCTCTCTTGAAAATTCTCCATTTTAGCCTCTTTCTCCATCTGTAAGATGAAAAAAGGTAGAATTTCTCTTCTAAAAGCAAATATAAGAAAACTAATTGGCTTACCTCAGTGAAGGGGAATGCAGCCAGCTCCAAAGACCCCAGACCATATGTCAGACTGGTGCCAAGTTTTGTCCACCCCTTCTCCACTTCCCAATCCCAGAAGATTGGCCGGTTGTCTCTGTTCTGTCTGCTACATCCAATATTCCATGTGATTCTTTCTGCCTCCATCCAAATCTCCTGGAATTCTCAGAGTAGAGACCAGAGGCCACTCAACTTGTCACCCACCCTCAAGGCTCCAAAAAAATTCTTTATCGTGTTTTAGGAATTTAAATAGAAAGGAAGGGAGGGAGAGAAAGAAGGAGAGAGAGAAAAGAATGAAAGAGAAAGAAGAGAAAGGGAAGAATGAGAGAAGAAAGAAAAGAATGAGAGAAAAGAAAGAAAAAGAGAAAAGGAAGAATGAGAGAAGAAACAAACAAACAAAGAAAGAAAGGAAAGAAGAGAAGGAGGTAGGGAGGGAGGGAAATCAAAAAGATTAATAGGAAGAAATGTAACCATATTTCTTAAAAACAGGGAATTAGAAGGGGTGACACTGGACAAGATTGTATTCATATGTGACTTGTTGAATTGATTAAAATAAAATTTAAAAGAAGAGGTACAAGACTATCTAGAACTACTTAAGGCTGTGAATGTATCTAAATCATTTGTGTTTGCTTCACTTCCTGGATGGCTTCCCTTACATGGACAATTTAGAATGATTCAAAGAGCACTTATTAAGTGGAAATTATACATTGAGATTGATACATTGCTATATGTAGTTCTACTGCAACTGTCCAAACTGAGTATTATATTATTGCATAGATTTAGAGAAACTAAAAATTCACTCAAGGCCAGCAACTTATATAATAGCTCTCTCTACCAAGTTGTTAAATGAGTTAATATTTGCTAAGTGCTTAGAGCAGTGTCCAGCACAAATGCTATGTTATTATATGCAACTATTAATAATAGAAGAGAGCAGTTCCAAGATGCCAATCCAGATTTGTATGACTCCAAAGCTCACTTGGTTTTAATTATACCATACTGTTTATGGCTTCATTTCAAACAGTGGAAGAGGTGGTGTTGGCTTTCTAACTCATTTTATCAATCTAATATACTGCGGGTTTATTTCTTAATTCTAATCTTCCCAAATGAAGTCTCCTAACCTTTTCTATCATCAAAAGCCTGGGTATTTCATAGTGCTGTTCAGGAGATCCTCACTTCCACTAGATTCATGTACATCATTGGCAGACATTATTATTGAAATCCATGATCTTAACATCATGCAGATAAAAATTCACCTGGGGTTACTCTTGCCAGCAAAGGTAAAATCATCCAAGTGCTACCAGAAAAAAACATCAGTTCAACTGGTTGCCTTTCTTATACCCCACACCCACAAGAATCCAGAACCTGGGCTATAGCTCAGTAATAAAGCATTTGCTTAGCATACATGTAGCTGTGAGTTCATTTCCCACCACCAATATTAATATTCAGCATAATAATAATAATACAGACCCTGTTAAAAAAAAAGAAAATAATGGATGGACCTATAGTTTTTGAAACTTCCTAGTTAGTCATAGGGGAAGATTGACCTTGTATTTTTTTAATTTAATTATTTGGTTTTATTAAATTTTTATTTATTATTGTGAAAATACTGTACAGGGGGGTTACAATTACATTGGCAAGATAATGAGTACATTTCTTATCAAGCATGGTAGCCTTCTCCTTTGTTTCCCCTTCCCATCCCTTCCCAGAATTAGTAATAAATATATTAATCTAGTACAAACACTGCAAAATATAAAAAGGCAGCCAAGTGCAAGTAGCTGTCTACTGTAATCCTGGCTACTTTGGAGGCTGAGATCTGAGGATCTTGATTCAATGCCACCGCTGTCAGAAAAGTCTGGGAGACTTTCATCTCCAATTAAACACCAAAACACAAGACGTGGAGCTATGGCTTAAGTAGTAGAGCTGTAGTGGTAAAGCTCTAGCCTTGAATGAAAAAATTAAGGGCTAATGCCCAGTTAAAGCCAGGCCTTAAGTTCAAGCCCCAGTACTGGCACCAAAGAGAAAGTAAAGTATACAAAAACATGATAGGAAAACTCTCTAGCTCTGTTTCCTTCTAATTCCTACTCCCATACTTTCAATAGCCACTGTTGTCTCTCTCATTGCCCTTTATTTCCCAAGTTTACTTATAAATGTGTAAAATATGGATATATTTATCATTTTTCTTCTATACACAGGTAGCATAAGCACTAAGTGTCTTTCTACTTTATGTTTAACTGCAAAATAAGGTTTTGAAGACTTTTCCATATCAATATACAGAAAAGCTTCTTTGTTCTTTATAATAAGATATCCTATTTGCTAGTTCTGATGTTTCATATATTCCTTCAGCCATTCATTCTTGCTGGGAGGTTGAATCCAGATATTATGCATGGGCAAATATTCTACGACTGAACTATAGTCCCAGTTCTTGGTTTTGTCAGACTGGCTTTTAACTCATGATTCTCTCTCCCTCATTCCAAACATGCTCCATCACACTGGTCTCCACCATAATTTTTATTCTTTGCTTTTTGAGGGTTTCACACACACACACATACACACCATACGTTTTACTCAGTTTCCTCTAGAGGAAGCATTTAGGTCATTTCAGTACTACATACAGTGAATAGGAAAAAAATTAATCAGCGTGGACCTACAGAAATATATAAAGAAACAAATTACCGTTACTCTAGATGGAATAAACATTCTATCTCTTTTTTTTTTTTGGGTCCGGTCGTGGGGCCTGAACTCTGGGCCTGGGCCTGTCCCTCAGCTCCTCAGCTCAAGGCTAGCACTCTACCACTTGAGCCACAGCACCACTTCCGGCTTTTTTTTTCTTTTTGCTTATGTGGTGCTGAGGAATCGAACCCAGGGCCTCAGGCATGCAAGGCAAGCGCTCTACCACTGAGCCAACTTCCCAGCCCCAACATTCTATCTCTTAATAGAGCCTTTTCGCCCTGCCTGACTCCTTTCCTATGCCTGGATGTCTCACCTAAAATATTTTAAGTTATACTTTCCCTTTCTTTTATACAGAGCAAAGCTAAAGAGCTGCCACTGTCTGCTGTACGGTTTATGGAAGAGTTGGGTGAATGCACCTTTGGAAAAATCTATAAGGGCCATCTCTATCTCCCAGGCATGGACCATGCACAGCTGGTTGCTATCAAGACCTTGAAAGACTATAACAACCCCCAACAATGGACAGAATTTCAACAGGAAGCCTCTCTGATGGCTGAACTGCACCACCCTAATATCGTCTGCCTTCTGGGTGCTGTCACTCAGGAACAACCCGTGTGTATGCTTTTTGAGTATATGAATCAGGGGGATCTCCACGAGTTCCTCATCATGCGCTCCCCACACTCGGATGTGGGCTGTAGCAGCGATGAGGATGGGACTGTAAAGTCCAGCTTGGATCATGGAGATTTCCTGCACATTGCGATTCAGATCGCAGCTGGCATGGAATACTTGTCTAGCCATTTCTTTGTGCACAAAGACCTTGCAGCTCGCAATATATTAATAGGAGAGCAACTTCATGTGAAGATTTCAGACCTTGGGCTATCCAGAGAAATTTACTCTGCTGATTACTATCGGGTACAGAGTAAGTCCTTGCTGCCCATTCGTTGGATGCCGCCTGAGGCCATCATGTATGGCAAATTCTCTTCGGATTCCGATATCTGGTCCTTTGGGGTGGTCTTGTGGGAGATTTTCAGCTTTGGACTCCAGCCATACTATGGATTTAGTAACCAGGAAGTGATCGAGATGGTGAGGAAGCGACAGCTCTTACCGTGCTCGGAAGACTGCCCGCCCCGAATGTACAGCCTCATGACCGAATGCTGGAATGAGATCCCTTCCAGGAGACCGAGATTTAAAGATATTCACATCCGCCTTCGGTCCTGGGAGGGTCTCTCCAGTCACACCAGCTCTACTACTCCTTCAGGGGGAAACGCCACCACTCAGACAACCTCCCTCAGCGCCAGCCCAGTGAGTAATCTCAGCAACCCCAGATTTCCCAATTACATGTTCCCGAGCCAGGGTATCCCACCGCAGGGCCAGATCGCTGGTTTCATTGGCCCACCAATACCTCAGAACCAGCGCTTCATCCCTATCAACGGATACCCAATACCTCCAGGATATGCAGCTTTTCCAGCCGCCCATTACCAGCCAGCAGGTCCTCCCAGGGTGATTCAGCATTGTCCTCCTCCCAAGAGTCGGTCACCCAGCAGTGCCAGTGGGTCAACCAGCACTGGTCACGTGACCAGCTTGCCCTCATCAGGCTCCAACCAGGAAGCAAACATCCCGTTATTACCACATATGTCAATTCCAAATCATCCTGGTGGAATGGGCATCACTGTCTTTGGCAACAAATCTCAAAAACCCTACAAAGTAGACTCAAAGCAACCATCCTTGCTAGGAGACTCTAATATTCATGGGCACACTGAATCTATGATTTCTGCAGAATTGTAGAAGGTGCAACTTGTACAAATTTGGTAGACAGAACAGGTTGGAGAACCGTAGAAAAGATTTATATGCAATTTTTTTTTATTAAAGTAAGGTTCTCACTTAGACATTACAACAGTATCTTCTGTGAAGTTTAACTGTGCAAGCAAGAAGAGACACCAGACAGGATAAGAACACACCATGGGGTGCATTGGGATCAGCACTAAAAACTGCAAACCAGTGAAAAAGAAAAGAACCTTGTGATTAACTATCAAACCAAAAAGAAAAATCAAATGGTGCATTGTGTATTTGCCTTTGGTCACCATGACTGTTTTTCCCCCCTAAAATGTATATACCGTAGCATTTGTCTACCTGCTGTCTTTTTCTTCAGGACAAATGTTCAGGAATTAATGTTGATTCCATTGAGACTCTATGCATGTATGAATGGAAGTGATGTTCAAGGAAGATACTTTAGGCCAAATTTGAACTCTTGGATGGAAATGAGCCATACATAGGACATATACCACATCCTGAGATGTCTTCTCCATTGTGAGGCTTCTTTGGGAAGGTGTACAATGTGCCTCTTGGTGAACCTCCTCTTCTGATCGTGAAGGCCTTTTCCACATTTCTCTTTTTACAATGTGTTTACACAAACCCTTAAAAGAGTGCATGACATAGGATCCTAAGAAAGCAGATGCGGATACTGAACATGATTGTTGCTTGATGATTTGCCTTGACGCATTAGGAATGAGGTGCCCAAGGAAGCACAGCCAAGAAAGTGGTCCCTCAGCCTAGTCCAGCATCCATAAGAGGGGAACAAGGTTCTCATGGATATAGCCTCCACAGGAGCTTCCTTAGGCCATGAATAGTGACAAATAGAGGTGGGGCTGCAAAGAGCACCACCCTGGCCTTGCAGCCTTGTTTCTAAGTGGTCCAAGAACACTTAATATCAGTGGACTCTAGTCAGGTAGGAACCCCTGTGTCGATACCAACAGTTAATAAACTTTGAAGTCTATTCTTTCTCTCTCTCCTTTCTCTACCTCTTTTCTTTCTTCCCCTCCTCTCTCCTTTCCCTTCTTCCTTCCTTCCTTCCTTCCTTCCTTCCTTCCTTCCTTCCTTCCTTCCTTCCTTCCTTTGTTCCTTCCTTCCTTCCTACCTTTTTTCTCCTCCCTCTTCTTTTTTTTCCTTCTATGCTGGAGATGTTCACAGATTGTGTTCTAGCCCCAAGAATTATAACAATTTATTCATAGAGCTAGTTGAAATCCAAAGACAATGCATTCCGTTTTGCAAAACATTACAGCCTTTCCAAAACCTAGTACTGAGTTTTCACTTCAGTGGTTATGGAGAACTGAATTCTGTAAGTTGGCAAACATGGAACACGAGCCTTTCTGCTCTCCCTAGAAGGAGATATCAAAACCATCTCTCCTGGCCTGTTCTGGCATTTACCTGCTAAACATCTTTGCCAACTTCAGAATTCTTAGGAGTTTCCAGTTCTATATACAAGAGATTTTTATATTTGATTTTTCTCTTGTTAAAAAAATAACTCCTTTTAGTCTAAGAACAGTGTCTCTACATCTCTTTTTTATGTTAAAGCTTATGTGGCTTATAGACTTACAGGACATCACACAAATCCTGGAAATATTTCATGAAGGGAATGTAAGAGAATTAGAAACACCTTGATGTTTCTGTTTTTGAAAATACAATAAGCATAAGAAATAAGGAAATCTGAGAAATCACCAAAATATGCTGCAAATATCTCAAACCCAAGTCTTCAAACAATAAGCATGCACACTTCTAGGTACTGTGAACTCAAAGAATTGGCTGTGTTCAGATATACTGGGTAATAAATATAGTCATATTTTTGTGGCATGATTAAGCTGATTCAGATGGTACATTTTTTAAACTTTAGGTAGAGGAGAATATTTGTAACCTTTTGTTGCTATGCAACTGTTTAATGATGAAACTTCAAACCACAATTTTGTATATCATATGACAATCATTTTTTCCAAGAATATTTATTATTTTAAGTAAACACAATTTCAGTGAATCTGGGTTTTTTTTGTAGGAGTCCCTTAAAGGGAACTTAGCATTCCATGAGCCAGTAAAATACCTTCTCTGGAAAAAACATTAATACAGTTAAAAAATAAATTCAAGTTAGTTTTTTATAAAGAACTGTAATGTTTTAAACATTTTGTAATAATGAATCAATTTAGGTGAGCAAGCTAAATCTCAAACCACTTGTAATTGTGTATTTTATAATAGTACTGTGATATTACGTAATGCAGCCCCTTTTGAATTAAATAGTATTTTTTCACAAACTGAGAAATACCTTTTGCTTTGTTGACAATGTTTTGTAAGATGACTTTATTTCAGATTTCTTTTTTGCACAAAACTGTGTTTATGGTTTGTATCACAAAAAATATATCTCTGCATTTTTATATCTGATCTGTTTTCTTGTTTCCTTTGTCTTTAACTCGATCTAGATTTTCTTTGAATATATAGTGGCAATATTCAGATAGCTCATTTTAACCATATTTCCCTTATTTTCACTGCATGCATTTAATCACTGTATAACTTTATGTTTGATTTGTTATAGGCATTTCAAATAGAAAACCATGGGCTTGTAATGACCAAGAGATGATTTTTATATGGAAGATATATGCATTTGTATTTCACACACCAGAGATGATATTAAACACTGATTATCTTATGCTGCTGTTTATTAAAAATGTTTACTATGAACTATTATTTCCTGAATATTGCTCTCATGCAGGTATTTGGGAATTTTGATATTATTTCTTATTTTGATTGGCATTTTATACCAAGAGGACTAACAACTTTTGTTCTTGCTTCACGGAAATGATTTTTAAAGTAGACTATTAAAATAAGCTTGGGTCTGGGAGTGTAGCTAGTGGTAGAGCATTTACCTACCATTAGCACACCCGGAGTTTGGTACCCTCCACTGAAAGGTAAAGTAAAAAAGTCTTAGATATTCTTTTGTAAGTGACCATAGCTGGAAGGAAGAATACCACTGATTTCATAGCCAAATACTATATTCCTATGTAAGGCAAGCTTTGATGATTAAAATCAAAACAATATATTGAATAATTACTTTACAATCAATGCAATGTAAAAAGAAATAGAAATGTGATTGAATGCATTATTTTCTGCCTTAATGTTCTCATATGAGGTTAGATAGCAACTCCCATCTTTTAGAGTCCTAAGGGGGAAAAATGCTTAGATTCCAACTTAGATTCCAACCATAGTGATAAAAGAAAATGGAGTCATTTTTAATTGTCATGGCTTATCTTTATGACTTCATTTGCTCAAAAGAAAAGAGTTTTCCATCTGGCAATTAATATACACTGTCAAGGAAAATGAGTATCATTATCGAAGTTCAAAGAACTTGTCCATTTCTGCTATTTAATACAGAAGAGAATACAATAAAACCTTCAGGGTCTTATCCATCTGTTTTAGGTACAGCACTTGTCACCACCTCAACGATCAAACTCAATAAAGCAATCACTCCACCTGGTAGTGAGATCCCTGTCAGGTTGGGTTTCTTCCTCTTGCTTGAATTCCTCAATCTGCCCTTCACTCCCATTTCCTTCTTACTTCTCTCCAGGCTCCTGACCCTCCCACTATCCCTAAAGCTTTCAACTGTGAGATTCTCTTGATTCCCTTAATTCCCTAATCACCAACATCTGTAAGCTCCCGGCTTCACTCTCTCATATTGTCTGCATGTAGTCGCTGATACTGAACAGAGAAGAGTTCTCATGTCCATATACCTGCAGGGGTGATTACCAAGGATGATTACCTAGCTCGGTATTTCTCAAATGAAGTTCCTAAAGCAAGGTCCCAGCGGCACACAGGAATTGGTTAGAAATGCAAATTATCAAGATTCTACCTCTAAGTATTAAATCAGAAAATCTTGGTGTGGGGCCCAGCAATTTGTGTTTTAAGAAGTCTTCCAGGTGATTATGACACCAAAGATAAAGAACCAACTGAATTTAAAGACACAGCTGGGGTGGGTAATCATCGCATCCTTAGTTATATTGGTTATATTCTGGGCCAGGCTGGGGTGTAGCTCAGTGGTAGAGTGCTAGCCTTCTCCATCCAAAGGAAGGAAGGAAGCAAGGAAGGAAGGAAGGAAGGGAGGGAGGGAAGAAGGGAGGGCAGGGAGGGGGAAAGAAGAGCAAGATTGAGATTGTTCTCTCCTTTCTCTGACATTGCTGTGTTTGGGCTGCCTTCCTCCTGCCATTTAGACAGAGCCCTTGGCAAGCAGCTTTCTCTTACAATAGCCTGATTCTCATACTGGGAGGGAGGGATGGAGGGAGGAAAAAAGACAGTACATCAAGAATATCTCTTTAAAAATTCCAAAGTAGGGGCTGGGAAGGTGGCTCAGTGGTAGAGCGCTTGCCTTGCATGCCTGAGGCCCTGGGTTTGATTCATTAGCACCTCATAAGCAAAAAGAAAAAAGCCAGAAGTGGCGCTGTGGCTCAAGTGGTAGAGTACTAGCCTTGAGCTGAAGAGCTGAGGGACAGCGCCCAGGCCCAGAGTTCAGGCCTCACGACCAGACCCCCCCCAAGAAAAAAATTCCAAAATAGTGCTAATGTACAGATTGTCACTAAATGTATCTGTGGTAGGAGTCTAAAGATTGCAACTATTTTTCCTGTTTAAGAAGAACAAAGACTGGTTGATTCCTGTTGGATTCAATTTCTTTGCTGTAAACAAGGACCAAACTAGTAAGCTTATTTGTTCTGTTAAAAAAAAAAAAAAAAGAATATGCATTTTCTACTTCTAGCTCACTCAGTGCCCACAACCTGAATAGCTACAAGTAGTTGGATATGGACAAACTCAAAAAGGCAAGTGTCTTAATACACCTTTCTTTTTGACTCGAACTGATGTGTAACCAAACCCAAAGAATCCTTCTTAGGGTTGCACCTTCACAGAGTTATTCTTCCTCTGCAGAGACTTGGGAAGCTTCACAGGGACTCCTCTTGCTGCAAGTCCTGGGGCCTGAGCTTCCTGCTACCAGACACACTCAGTGAATCCATCCTCAGCTGGCGGAGAGCGAGCGCTTCTCTATGCAGGCCTGGCTCCCCACTGCCTCTCCAGGGATGATACTGCAGAGGGAGGACAGCAATGGAGATGCAGGGAGATGCGAGGGGGAAGCTCATACTCTTTTTAATTTATAGTGGGTTTTCCCCCCCAGCCACTCAAATACAAAGCAGGAAGTGTTACATTAGACAAGCAGAAGGGCAAAGGAACATACATAACAAAGGGTTTGTTTTGTTTTGCTTTTTTGCAGCCAAAGTAGTACTGCACTGAAGCTTGTTAGGGTAAATGCCAAGAGTATTAAGACACTGTGAACTCCAGGGAGTGGAGGTTGGAGTGAGGGGGAGCTTTACAAAGCATCAAAGCACTCAAGGTCACTGTAATTCTCTGGGAAATTTGACTGGGAGAGCTTTAACACATG